ATATTTTGCTACATTTAGCTTTTATTTAGTCATTTACTGTTTTAATCTTTGGTTTGCCTTTAGCTACTTTTAGCTTCTAGCTACTGTTTTTTCTCTTAGTTATTCCTTTGCTACATTGTGCTACTTTTAGCTAGACTTTTACTACTTTAAGTATGTAATGCTATAGACTTTGTCTACTTTTAGCTTCTAGTTACTGTTTGGTTGCTCTTAGTTATTGCTTTGATTCGTTTTGCTAGCCTTATGCTACTTTTAGTTACTACTTTAAGCATCTATTTAATGCATTTACAGTATCTACTTTTAGCTTCTAGCTACTTTGTTGCTCTTAGGAATCCCTTTGCCGCATTTAGTTGGGATTCTTTTTAGCTTCTAGCCACCACTTTGCCTCATTTCCATTGTAACTCCTTCTGCTATTGTTTTCCAACTTTAGCGTTTTGCTTCTTTTAACTTTAATAGCTTTGTTTCTGATTCTTTACCACCAATAATTCATCAGTCAGCTCCCAGTAATCAGTTTTTAATCTAACATATTTCTCATGAACTGAATATGAGGACAAGTTTGCACTTTTCCCCAAAGAGTAGCTACAGAGCTGAATGACACATTTAAAACKAACTTCTGAATGCAGAAAATAGCTTTGATGTTCCCTTCTTCTTTCCTCTCACTCACTGTTTTTCTACCCCGCGTTTCCTCTTCCTCCCTCCTCCAGTCTCCAGGGTGAGGAGGTTTTCATCTGGAGGCGAGGAGGATGGATGGAATCAAAACATAAACAGGGTAAGAAAAGGAAAACGCTCTTCTGCTTCTGCTTTTTATAATGTAAGTGTGTGTTAATATTTAATAAGGAAGTTAATTAGATGCTTCTGTCTGACCTCAGCCACTGGACATGACCCAAAGTGATGCTYCTCTCCTCTCCTCCCTCCTTTTTTCTCTGGATATTCTGATACCCTTATAATCATGTTTCCCTTTTATTCTGCCTCTGTGCCCACTGTTATGAAAAGTCTGTTTGTGTATTCATTTGTTAGCAAAATATCTTATAAACCAGAGGATATATAT